CGGCGGGGGGGCTCTCAGTGCTGGTTTCAATAAAGCTCCTACTCCAGCGCTGCTCTTGCACCTCTCCGCATCCAGCAACGCACCCCGGGCCCCTGAGCACCCCAGTGCAGTGCCAAGGGGCCGGTTCCTGAGCTCAGCGGGCACCCTGCAGCACCCCTGGCTCCATAGCTGCCCCCCTCCCTCCCTCCCTGCCCCAGGCCAGCCAGGGGGATTGGGATGCCAGCAGCGGAGCATCCGAGCGGTGCCCAAGCTCCCAGAGGGAACGGGCTCCTGTGCTTCCCAGGAGCTCAAGCTGCAAGAGCCCAGTGAGGGCTGGAGGCGATACCTGCCTGGGTCCTGCCTCGTCTTGCAGCTCCAACACCAGCTCTCCCCCTCGGGAAGTGCACTCCTGCTTCCCAGCCCAGTGCCTTCACCTCCCTTGGGATCAGGAGCAGGGTCCTCGTGCAGCTCCTCTCTCCGCTTTGGGGTTCAAGCTCAGCCAAACCCTGGGGTGCCAAGATGGGCTTGTTCCCCATCACGCCGTGGCCAGGCAGGGGCTGCTCCTCACTCCCGCTGTCTGTCCCACCGTTTTCCAGGCCTGAGCCCCCTCCCTGCAGCCTTGGCTGGGAGCCGGGGCACTCCCCCGCACCCAGACATCGGCTGTTGCTCCTGTGGGCTCTTGCTCCCACGAGGCCATTTCTTCCCCAGAAGACCTGCTCACTCGTGACACCTCTCTGCCTCAGTTTCCCCACTCATACACGACCCCTGCGGACATTGGTCTTCAGAAAAGGCTCAAAGCCCCGCAGGTAGAAGCCCCTGAAGGAGCCTGCGGCAGCGGAGCTCACCGAGTGCTTCCATCCGCCGAGCCACCAGCACCCACCACCTCCCACCCCATCCGGGGGCGGATTTCTGCTGGCAAAGACCCCGAGCCGCTCGCTGTCACGGATTTTACACCCCAGTGCCCGTGTGGGTCTGAATGCGGACAGAGCGCTCGGCCCCCCGGGAGCCAGGAACACGGCACAACGGGTCTGGCTGCTCTGCCGGGCCGGGATTCCGTCCTGGGGCGATGCCAGGGAAGGCAGCTGCCCGGGTGGTTTCGGGGAAGAGGATGGGTGCTCAGCCTCGGTGCCAGCAGGTCGGTTACAAAACTCCTCCCTGGCCTCTGCCAGCAACTCTGTCAGGCTCAGAACCACAAGGAACCAAACACCCAGATACCAGCCGAAACCAAAAGCTGTCCCGGTCCCCATCCCGCTCAGCGCACGGTCCCTGCCTCCGAAACCTCCCCGGCCCGTTCCTCCCGCCTTAGACGTGACGGGGGGGGGGGCGGGCGGGCGGCCGTGGGCGAGGCTC